GAGGCTTGACCATCAAGCTCCGATTTTTATGACTCAACACACCTCCAAGAGCTCAAAAGGATAGATCATATGGTATAAAGTTCCTTAACTCCAAGAATCCAAACTATGGGACCAAAAGATGACATTTTCCACCCCAAAAAGTAGATCTAAGCAAGTAATGATCAATGTTTAAGCTTTAAACCTTCAATGGGTCAGAAATGGTTCCAAACTTCTTGATATACAAGCTCTTCCTATGTCCTTGCTTCTTCTCAAGTTTCCTTCTTCTTCAAAGGCTCTAAAGAACACCCAAAATCACTTAAGAAGCTCACAAATACACTAAGGGTGGCTTAGGGTTCGAGATTTCCCAACCACAATATGTCAACATATATAACAGATAAACATAAACACATATCCAACAAGTATAGGTAACCATATAGATCTACCAAATACTGTCTCTACAGGTCACCTATACAAGAAACAGGGACCCAATCTCAATATACTATTCAAATTACCCAAAATGACCTAAGGTCAAACTTGGTCAAATTCAATGGTTAAAAGTCAACCTCCAGTTGGTTGCCAAGTCGTGGCCACGCCGTGGCCGTTTGTTGACAAAACAGACGAGCCTTAGCCTAGTCGCCACGCCGTGGGCACTTGGCTCCTAACAACTTAATGGGTTAAGTTGTTTTCTTCTATTCTAAGGGCTCCAAACCTCATATCTAGTCCATTTTATGCTCTAAGTGGATAAAGTTTCCAACTTTATCCCCTTACGATCTCCAAGATATAGATCCAAAAAAGGGTAAAACACAACTTGGAATAATTCAATAAGCACTTAATCTTGAAGACCTCTAGTCCAACACTTCCCGAAAGGTTTCTAACATCATAAATAACATAAAAATCCATGCTTTCCATACATGCATGTCCAATGCATGTCTTGAACTCCTATTAGGTCAAAATGAGGGTTTATGGCCAAAAATCCATGCATGACACCAAAAATCATTACTAATCCAAATCCAAAGCACCAAATACCCTAGATGTCCTGGAGATTCATAAAGTTGCAAACTTTATGAGATCTCACCACTCCAACAAACACAAACATGAAGATTTAGGGACAAAACTCAAGATCTAACAACCTATCATGATAAAAATCGAGTCTTGAACACTAAAAAGGCCCAAAAGAGTGCTATAACAAAGGATGAGTAATTTCTTGCTGAATCTTAGCTCACTTCTTATTCTTTCTTCCTTCAATGGCTTCAAAGAACACCAAAAAAGCTTAAATAAAGGAGGAATGGGATTAGGGTTTCTCTGATCTCAAGGTGGCTGATGGAGGGTGGGGATGAGCAAACCCTAGCCTCCTCATTCCTTTAAATAGGGAGCAAAACCCAGAAAATAGAGTTTGTCATTTGCCAGCTGCCATGTCGTGGCCATATACTGCCACATCGTGGCGGCTTAAATGAACACGCGATCTTATCTTGATTTGGCACGTCGTGGTGTCTCTACCATGCTATGGCAAACCCTAAAATGCCAAAAATTGAAAATATGAAGTACCTTGGGATCCGGGTGTTACATGTAGTAATCGTAAAACCAAGAGCATGCATATAGAGAATATCCAAATCTGAATTCGTAAGAGGAAATTATGTTTTTCTAATATTTCAGCGTAATAATGTTAGCACATAAACCAAAATTCAAATCATTCAATTTTTAGGAAAAAAATCTAAACGAGAGTTAAAGATCTCGTCGATATGATTCCTTTGATATAAAGACAGTCGAGAACGAATGTCGTATGAAAGAGTTATGATTTTTATACAGACTTTATCAGTCTAAACATGTTAAAAATATAAATTTAAAAATAAAGTGAGAACTAGCCGATGGAGTCTAAACTGAAGTTGTAGATCTCATCGATAGCTATGCGTGGATATAAAGAACGTCGAAAATAGAGCTCGTATGAAGAAGATATGAATTTATGAAAATCTAGAAAAATTTGCGCATGTGGGCACGGGGCACGACACACAACCCTTCTAGAAGCATGAGACGCAGACAAATCTAGTCCTGACATGTGGCAAGCATTTGGAAGAACGACAAAGGTGTAAAGGTGTGACACGCCTATTAAGGGGTGCGCGACACACCTCCTGGACCCTATATATACCCTTCGAAAACTTCATTCTTTCCACACAAATTCCAATCTCTTTCCCTCTGAGGTGCTACTCTTTCTTGATTCCAACCTTTTGGAGTATCTTGGATATTTTTAGCAAAACTCTGGAGCTCTAGGAGCCCGATGAAAAGTGGTGTTCGGGTCGGAGTTCTGCCCGCATAATTTATCGGTTTTCGCTAAAATTTTTGTAAGTTAAGCTATACTTATTTTATTACTAGTGTAACTTAGATTTATGTTCATAGTCATTATTATGAACCTATAAATAATATTTATCATGATTCAAAGTCATTATACTGATTGATCTACTTACGAGAATGATGTCTAGGCTGAATTTAGTGAGGTCATTAAAGTGGAATTTCCAAATAGAGTACTTTTTATACCAAACGAATCCTACCTCCAATATGATCCTACCTGGTTGTTCCTTACTTGATAGATCTTGATGTAGACATTGCGATTATTAAAGAATCTAGACTATCATTAGTCACAATGAATATAAGACTAAGACTTAGTGATATTCGTATCTAGGTCACGTCAAAAGGAAAAAGTTAAGGTGTTAGGTGAAGCTCTACCGAAATCACCAGTCATCCACTTTTAACAAGTGAGTACATAATTACTTTCAACTTACACATAAATACAAGTATTCTAATTGCTTAAATGTTGTGTGCCGTTTAGTTGTGGTTAATATATCTATGTAAAATGATATGACTATTTCTTGATTAAGTTGTATATTAATCATACTTAATATATGATTGGGTAGTGAAGAACTATGTGAAATAATAGATGAAAGGCTGTGATAGGTTAGTGAAGAGTTGTGTGATAGGTTAATAAAGGTTTGTGAGAAATAATAAGATGTGACTTGTTGTGCTGTGAACAAAGTACTATCGTACTGTTGTGTTTACCCAAAGTACTATCGTACTGTTGTGTTTACCCAAAGTACTATTCATACTGATGTGTTTACCCAAAGTACTATCATACTGCTGTGCCCATCCAATGTACTAACGTACTACTGTGCTTACCGAAAGTACTGTTGTACTGTTGTGCCTAGTCATGTAGAAAAATATTAGTTAGAAAAAAGGTTATGCAAAATGATAAGTTGTGACCCGCTGTGTTGTAACCACAGTACCATCGTATTGCTGTGCTCACCTAAAGTACTATGGTAATACTGTGTCTAGTTAATTAAGGAAGTATAGATGGCAACTCCTGCTGATAAAGATCCTTTAGGAAAGATCCTTTGAGATCATTATTTAAGGATTAGGAAGTGAAGATAACAAGAATGGGTAACTGAGTTAATTGTTTGTTGAAAAATATATAATTAAAAAAATTATAATATTGTAGGTTGAAAACGCTATGTACTCACCAGATTTCCCAACCCGACCCACTCAGTTTCTTTGTATCATAGGAAGCAGTACAAAGATAACGGTGTTTGGTTCTGATGAGAGATTTGACAAAATATAGGATGTTGTAAGGCCTGTAATGATTGCATTTATGCTTATGTTTCTTGTACCAGTTATGACATCTCAAGTTTTAATAAATCAATGAAAAAACATTTTTTCGGAAATACTTTTATGGGACAAATTCCGCAATAAAAGAATACTCTATTTTAAAATAAACATAAATAAAAAGATCTTTTCTGACCGTGAAAATGAGGATGTCAAAGTTGAAAACCTACTATCTGAAAGGATATTTATGTTAATGCTTATTTGGCAAATAAGTTGACATCTTCGTTGACCCTGACACCTTAACAAATCTTCTTAGGCCAACAAAGATTTTTGGGGGAAAAAAGAAAATCCATTTTCATCACTATATACCTGTTTTTGAAGCTCTTGATTTTGATTTAGGCTTTGTATTTGAGACTAAGAACAAGAAGTACTTGAAGCTGTTGATTTTGATTAGGCTTTGTATTTGAGATCAAGAACAAGTACTTGTCTTTAGTTTAGGATTTAGGACAACCATATCCACCAGAGTCAACATATCTGCTAATACAATAACATTTGAAACGATTTCTCCTCCTAAAGGGACCGTCTAGTAGATTTCAAGAACCATTTTCAAAATCGGAAGTCTAAAACACCCCACATTGATTTCATTTTTTGATTTGTATTATGATTTTTTATACACCAACTTCTATGAAACACGAGTTGCATGTTTCTTTCCCCGTCAATTGATCATGAGACATAGTTAATAGTTTTTTTTATTTTTTTATTTATTATTATTATTATTATTTTTGTTGGGGGGGGGGGGGGTGTTCCCCTTTAAATCTGGAGTTTTAGAAACAATTACATCCTTTCTCCAAACACATGAATTAAGATTTCAGATATGGATTTCAACCTAACATTACAGATATGGGTTTCCTCTCCATGTTCCTTCTCCCGATACATGTATTCGTGTTTGTTTTTTAGATATGGATTTTAAAATGTGTAAATGATTGAGATCTTTGTGGGGGCTAGGAGGGGCTGTGCCTCCCCTGTTTTTTTTTTGTCACAACTAGTCTTTAAGTATTAAAATTTTTTACATATTAAGCCCAAAAGCTATAAAATTTGGCTTTGCCTCCTCTGTTCTCTTAAAAAAAAACTAAATAAATAAATACATACATAAGCCATAGTTGATTTCCTTATAAAATCATTAAATCATTATTCTTTTTATGGTTTCTGCCAACGGTATAAAATTATTGAATTTAGTTTTGTATGTCGTCATGCTCTAGTCATAACTATTGCCCAAAGAGAAAAAGCATTGCATGAGAAGTGTTTTGGGGAAAAATTCACGTAGCACAACCAGTAAGCTCATTACACGTGTACAAAATTTGGTTCCATCCAATAACACACATCTACGTGTATACGAAGGGTAAACCAGTAAAAAACCAATAATACCTTCGGCTCCCTCTCTTTCTCAGTCCCTCTGCAGCAAAGTCTTCACTTTGTATAAGCTTGATTGACTCGAAATCTCTAACGCCCTCACAAAACCTCACACATCAGGATTTCGACGGCCGTTAATGGCGGTCCCCGTAGATGCCATTATCAAGCAGTCGCCGCCTTCTTCGAGTCTGCGTTTCGCCTTCGGAAATGTTCTCGCCTTCTTCATTCTCCTGTTAATCGGAGTTCTTGCATTCTCGATCCGTTTGTTCTCGGTAAATTCACTGGATCCAAACGTCGATCGATACATATATGATAGTTAAATTGCGATTTTTTGATCTGATTTAATTCGTTTCTGTTGCAGGTCATTAAGTATGAAAGTGTTATTCATGAATTCGATCCTTATTTCAATTACAGAGTCACTCAGGTTTGCCTTTTTGTTTATTTAAATGGTTTATGTAGTTAAGGTTTTGTTTTTTGTTTTGTTGATTTGGTACTACAAGGGTTGTTGAGCAGTAAAATATGTGATGTTAACGTGCAGGATGTTAGGGAAGTTTTTTGTTCGTTTAGGATTTCACTTCAAGAATTTAGGGCAGTAGTTTCATTTCTTTTTGATTGCGGCATATCACTGTTGTTATTTTGCTAGTTGAACATGAATTTGAATCGCAATGCCACTTAGATGTTTTCAGAGCGAGTGATTGTAAAATAAATAGTACATTGAATTGGTTAGGAAGTTATACGAAAATTAGCCCATCCATGGTGAAATGCTTTTCGGTTGTGCATCTCCTGAGTTCCGAAATCATTCTTATACAATTCTAAAAATAGCATGATAACAGTTGAACATATAATTATAAGTTGTTTCTAAATATAGAAACTTCAAGCTGGAGAACTTTGATATTGGTTTATGAAAAACTTTCTTAGTATCATAAAAGTATAAGCACAGAGAAAAACCAGATGCACATCAGGCTAGTGTTTATAACTCTCTTTAGAAGAGACATAAATCTTATATTCCTCTTCTCCCCCTTTCAAGAAAGCTGCTAAATGTCATTTCACATCCCTTAAGATTCATGTCTATAATGTACATTTCAATAAGTTCAATGTATTGCTTATAGTTTCTGTTTCTCTTTTGATTTCAGTTCCTCACAAAGAATGGGATATATGACTTCTGGAATTGGTTTGATGATCGCACCTGGTATGTGTATAAGGTTTTATTTTTACTTTTATTTATTTATTTTTAAAGTTATATCACTTCATGAAGTTAACATGACACCATATATTCTACTTCTCATAAGGTATCCTCTTGGACGAGTCATTGGTGGAACTGTGTACCCTGGATTGACTTTGACTGCTGGAACTATATGGAAGTATGTATTAATTATTATACAAATAAGTTGTTTTTTTTTCTACTATTCTAATAAATTCAAACCAGAAATATAACATATGTTCTTGATTTCAGGGTGCTTCAATCCTTGAACATTCCTCTCTCTGTAGAAACTGTGTGTGTATTTACTGCTCCTGTGTTCTCTGCCTTTGCTGCATGGGCTACATATCTACTAACCAAGGTTTTATTTTTAATCTTTTTGTGTTTTAAACTTTTAATAAATACTTTTAGCTTCATTGATGTTCTTAAACTAATACTAACATCCCTCAATCTTGCTCACTTATTTTTATCTAGGAAGTTAAGGGAACAGGTGCTGGACTTACTGCTGCAATTCTTCTTGCCATGGTAAACACATAAAGGGTACTTCAGAAATAATCAAAATTTTATCATACAGATTAGTTGTCTCTTTAGTTACTGATTATTTTTTTTTTATATTTTATAGGTTCCATCTTATATATCTCGATCAGTGGCTGGAAGCTATGATAATGAAGCAGTTGCTATCTTTGCTTTAATCTTCACTTTCTATCTCTACATCAAGGTCAGTTTTATCAATACAAATTGCCTTCATTTCACATCTTGTTAAAAACATAAAACAAAACTATTTTCTGACAAAAATATTTTCATTGCAGACTTTGAACACAGGATCCCTCTTCTATGCTACATTAAACTCCATTTCATATTTCTACATGGTAGGCTTAAAATGGTCCTATTTTCTATTTTCTTTTTTCTTTTTAAAATTTACATTTTTTATATTGTTTGATTTCATTTAGGTCTGTTCTTGGGGAGGATACACCTTTATTATCAACCTTATACCAATGCATGTGCTTCTTTGCATTGTAACTGGTCGCTATTCCTCTCGTTTATACATTGCATATGCTCCACTTGTAAGTCTACAAATTTATAAATAAATTAACAATATGTTCTTTTCTTTTTCTTCATCTTTTTTTTTGCCTTTTTTGTTGTCAAATTGGTTTTTGTTTCATGAACATTTTGTTATGCAGGTTGTTTTGGGAACTTTATTAGCAGCATTGGTGCCTGTTGTTGGTTTTAATGCAGTGATGACATCAGAACATTTTGCATCATTCTTGGTGATTTTCCATTCCATAATAACTGGTGTCATTTTAAGACATGTTTATGTTACATAATTCTATATTTTTTAATTCTATTAAATTTTTATTTCAGGTTTTCATTGTTATCCATGTGGTTGCTCTTGCACATTATATCAAAGGAATTCTCTCTCCAAAGATGTTTAAAGTCGCTGCTACCCTTGTAGTATCTGTTGGCCTGTAAGTTTCAATCACTTTTGATAAAAAGAAAATAAATTTAACCAATTACAACCAATTAAAATTTTAACATGTTATTATTATCAATGTATTATTATTATTATTCAGGGTGGTATGTTGTGCTGTGATAGCAGTACTTGTAGCAGTAGTTGCATCTAGTCCTACAAAAGGATGGAGTGGAAGAAGCTTAAGTCTTCTTGATCCGTAAGTAATCAAAATTCAAAATAATTATTTCTTATTTTATTTTCACTTAAAGAGTTTTCTAATGAATCTTTGACATTCTTTCCTTTATTTTTATAAATTATATCAGAACTTATGCAAGCAAATACATCCCAATTATTGCAAGTGTCAGTGAACATCAACCACCTACATGGCCATCTTACTTCATGGATATTAACGTTTTAGCATTCTTAGTCCCTGCTGGAATTATCGTAAGTTCGCAATTTATATTTTCTAAATTTCTCTTCCTTTTGACTTTTTTTAACTTTTGACTTTTGACCTTTGACCTGTTCTTTTCTCTCAGGCATGCTTTACACCGTTATCTGATGCAAGCTCCTTTGTAATCCTTTACCTAGTCATGTCGGTTTATTTCTCTGGTGTCATGGTAAGCACTTTATACTTATAAAAATAATTTATATTTTATATATTTAATATTTTATAGTTGTTATATTTATAAAATGGTGTGACAGGTAAGGCTGATGCTTGTGCTTGCTCCAGCTGCATGCATAATGTCTGGAATTGCACTTTCTGAAGCTTTTGATGTTTGTACAAGATCAATTAAATACTATATTTCTACCCTTTCTGATAGTCTCCTGACTGATGTAAGTATCTAAATCTGATTATAGCAATGAACTTTGTAAACTACATAAGTGACAAATTATAGCAATGTACTTTGTCATCTTTAAGGCAGGGGATATTGTATCCCCACAAAATGACGTCATCAAGCCTGAGAAAAAGGAAGACTTGTTGAAGGAAAGACCTTCTAGAAAGAACAAGAAAAAGGAGAAGGAGAATATCGAAAAGCCTTCTGTGAAACCCCAAATTACAAAAATGCCCCTGGTCTTGCCTGTTGAGGCATCCATCTTTGCTCTTTTCTTGATTGTCTTGCTCGGTGCCTTCTATGTTGTAAGCATACTTCCTTTAATCTTTTCCTTTTTTTATTTTATTTTATTCTCTCACAGGAAAAAGACCAAAATACCCTTGAAAATTAAATTTACTGAATTGTCATAGGTCCATAGTGTTTGGGCTGCAGCAGAGGCGTATTCGGCTCCTTCAATTGTGCTTACATCTCATTCCCATGATGGACTTCATGTTTTTGATGATTTCAGAGAGGCGTATGCATGGTTAAGCCATAACACAGAAGTAGATGACAAGGTAAGTTGCTATTATTTTAAAACGTAACAAATAATTACTAGTAAAAAATGTTATAAAGAGATTAAATATAAATAGTAAATACACCCAGGTTGCATCTTGGTGGGACTACGGTTACCAAACAACCGCAATGGCAAACCGCACTGTCATTGTTGATAATAACACATGGAACAACACACATATCGCAACAGTTGGCACTGCCATGTCATCACCTGAAAAGGACGCGTGGCAAATTTTCAATTCCTTGGATGTGAAATACGTACTTGTCGTGTTTGGTGGTTAGTTTTCTTAATTTTCTTTCCTTACAAATTCAGGAGAAGGAATTACGTAAAATATTTAAATTTTAATATCTAATATTCTTAGGTCTCGTGGGATACCCTAGCGATGACATAAATAAATTCCTATGGATGGTTCGTATTGGAGGAGGCGTTTTCCCACACATCAAGGAACCTGATTATCTGGTAAATAAATATATTTCTTCTCAAATATTTTCATTTTAATTCTTATTTACTAAATTTTATTATTTTTGTTGTAGAGAGATGGTCAATACAGAATTGACTCACAGGCGACTCCAACCATGCTTAACAGTCTCATGTACAAATTATCGTATTTCAGGTATTTACGTTTAAAATTCTAACTTCTAAAAACAAAATAAAACATAAAGAGTATTTTATATTTTTGGTCCCCGAGTATAACTGATTCGTTCTCAAAAAGTTTATTTTGCACTTTTGGTTGTTTAAATTTTGTTTGTAACGTTTTTGGTCCTTATTCCAGATCATTATATTTTTGGGACCAAAATTGCAAAATTCAACTATATTTAAGGACCAAAATAGTGTTACTTTGAACAGGGACCAAAGATGTTACAAAAACTTTAAGTAAGGACCAAAATTGAAAAAAAAAACTTTTTGTAACGTTTTTGGTCCTTATTCCAAGTAAGATAATTATATTTTCGGGACCAAAATTGCAAAAACCAACTATATCGGGGACCAAAAATGGTCATTTTACTTTGAACAGGGACCAAAGATATTACAAAAACCTTACCTAAGGACCAAAATTGCAAGAAAACTTTTGGTACAAAAATTGCAAAAATCAACTATGTTCAGGGATAAAAAACCGTCATATTACTTTGAACATGGACAAAAAATTTAGAAGAACCTCAACTAAGGTCCAAAAGTGCAAGAGAAAACTTTATGGGGATAAAAATTGCAGAAGTCAGCTATATCCAGGGACTAAAAATGTAATTTACGGTAAAATTATGCTAAACCAGTTGTTTTTGTATTCTATAGGTTTGTGGAGACCGATGGTGGTAAAGGATACGATAGAGTAAGGAGGACTGAAATTGGAAAGAAATACTTTAAATTAACACATTTTGAGGAGGTAAGTATATTTAATTATGTTTGCTTACATTTACATAGATTTTTTTTTTATTAGTCGTTTGCAATTTGATAACAAAATTTCATCATATGTAATGTAGGTATTCACAACTCATCATTGGATGGTTCGGATTTATAAATTAAAACCTCAAAAGAATAGGATTCGAGGGAAGACCAAGAAATTAAAATCGGTAATTTATTTATTATTTATTTTTTGTGGGTGTGTTTTGGACGAGTCTTGCTAACGTTTTAATATTTTGCAGAAAACAAGCTCGGCTACACCGAGAAGCGGGACAACACTGAAGAAAAATCCTTGGCATTAGAAGTTAAGGAGATATGAAATTAGATGAGATACACAGCTTTTTTTTATACAAACGATTGTGAGTTGTGATCATCAATCAAAAGATTTTGTAGGGAGTTATGTTGGTGAATGAGATAATCAACTTTTGAACTACAGGTAAAGGATTCGTGTTTTTATATTAAAAAAATATTCACATTTTTACAAACTTTAAATATTATTTTTATAATTTTACAAAGTTTAAAACTACAAAATAAATTTTTCATTTTTAAAATAGAATAAACATTCATTTTATAAAGTTATATTCAAGTCAAATCGATTGTTCATAAATCATAATTCATAATCAGAGTTATAAGGAAGACAATGTGGAACCCCGAAACATAAAACTGTTGATGTGTGTTTATAGTTCCGCCTTTGCAATCTAATAAGTACCTGAAAAACATTTTTATCCTCAACTGTAAAGCTTAGTGAGTTCCCCAAAATATCACATACAACACAACATAAATAAACAACTATGTGTTATCAGCAGTTTTAGGGACTATCAGCAGTCCCAGTAGGCTAATAACACGTCTTGTGGGCTAACAACATTTCCTATGAGTTATTGTTAGTGATTAGGGTTTAGGCCCAAGCCCTTTAGGGTTTAGATTAGGTCTTTTATGTATCCCTATTTATATGAGGTTTAACCTCACTATTTATCAATGAAACATTTTATTATATAACATGATATCAAAGCTCTACGTTAAAATCCTACTGTCGACACCAACCCGCTACCGCCGTCCTCCACCTCCGACAACATTTTCTCATAGTCGTCGGAGGTGACTTCATTATGCTTCATATTCCCTTCGTTTGTTTTTTTTCTCCTCCTAAATAATAAAGCAGCTGCCGACACCAAACTAGAGCTCTTACATTGGCTTCTTCTACTGCCTCATTTGCTTATGTCTCCTTGTCGGATGGCTCATGCCTCCAAGCTTTCTGCCTTCTCCTTAACTTGCCTTTATTTAAGATCTATTTTCCGAGTCAGTCGGAATAGGCTCCGTACGCCACAGCTCGAACCCTCTTTCTTTCTCGTTGCTTTTCTTTGGACTCCTCTACCGTCGACTCGATGATCGTCGCCGCCGCTGCTCCTCTCTTCTTATACAAAGGAACCGTCGCTGGCTGCCGCTTCTTTTTTCTCCTTCTCCTTCTCCTTCTCCAACGAGCGGTTGTTGTTAGCCGTCATCGTTAGAGCTCTGCCACCGTCGCTGCCGCTGTCTTCATTTATGTCATGTTTTATGTTTTTGTTTTTCCAGTTTAATCGTCCTCTCCCGATCAAACTGCGGGGGGATGTTAATGATTAGGGTTTAGGCCCAACCCTTTAGGGTTTATATTAGGTCTCTTATGTATCCCTATTTATATGATGTTTAACCTCACTATTTATCAACGAAACATTTTATTATATAACAGTTATCAACAATCCTGGGGACTATCAGCAGTCCCATTGGGCTAACAGCACACCCTGTGGGTTATCAGCAACCCTTGTAAGTTCTTCCAAGTCCACTCTGTAACATTCAGTTTAGGTGAGCAATTGTCAGGTTTAAAATTCAAAGATTTAACCCTACTCACGACGTGAGGTATGTATGTCACGTCGTGAGGAAGTTAGTGCAACCGCGTATCACCTTCGGGCTCACGACGTGAGATCAACCTGGGAGGAAACCCTAATTTTTTTTTTTGGGGGGGGGGGGGGGTTATTCCGTATTTAAGGGAAGTGAGGGCTAGGGTTAGCCCACCCTCAACCTCCATCACCTCCTTGCACTCCCCTTTGAAACCTTAGCATCCACATTTGATCTTGAGCTTATTTGTGGTGGTTCTAGCCAAGGAGAAGAAGAAGATCATCTAGTCCATCATTTCTGCATTCAAGTCTCTCCATTAAGCATTCTCACACCTTTTGGACCTTTTGTGAGTTTCAAGTTCATTGCTTTATGAGTCCATAAGCTTAGATCTATGTTTTTTTTTCTTAATCATTCATATTCAAGATGATGTAGTGGTTGGAATTCATAAGGTTTCCAACTTTATGGATCTCCAGTGTCCTTTGAGTAGTATAGATGCTAGATCTAGAATATGGTTGAGTGTTATGACTCTTGCATGATATTTGGTGTCATTTTCTCCTTTTGTGCCCTAGTTAGTGTTTGGGACATGCATTGGGCATGCATGTAACATCCATAAAAAATCATGCCAAATTTAAACTTTTTAAAACATTTCAAAACCAATAATTATTACAACTTGTTTTCAAAATAGTTTAGTGTCAGAGTATCCCAGAATCAAATCATGAAACATAAGGAGGTGTACGATCACGCCTTCGCCTTCCCGCGATCATCAAAAGTACCTGAAACAATAATCGATAAATGTAAGCTCGAAGGCTTAGTGAGTTACCCCCAAAATACCAACGCCATACATATATAACCATATCATATAAACAACAACATGCATAATGAGCCATCAGCCTGACTGGACCGCCTCGCAGGCCATCAGTCTATCTGGACCGCTCTCCGAGCCATCGGCATGTCTGGACCGCCTCGCGGGCCTTCAGCCTATCCGGACCGTTCGTCGGGCCTTCGGTCTGACTAGTATGCCCTCCCGGGTCTGCAGTCTATTCGGTCCGCCCTGGGTATGTTGGCCTAAGCACAAAGCATGACCGCCTCAACCCAACCCCCAATCAAACAAACATGTGCACATAAATATCATACGCTAGCTAGCATGTATAGATAGTCATACAGATCTAACAGATCACTAACATGGCAACCATCCTATAACCAGGATATCGATCTAACCGATCACTAACATAGCAACCATCCTATACCCAGGATACCGATCTAACAGATCACTAACATAGCATAATCCTATAACCAGGATACCAATCTAACATATCACTAACATGACTACCATCCTATAACCAGGATACAAATCGTAAAGCATATCATGCAATAAACCCGAATACAAATCCGAAAAGGGCCGACATTGGTTCCTTAGACCTTGTTGATATAGTGAGGAGAACTCACATCACAAGTAGTGCTGAACTGGACTAAAAGTCTCCGATCGCTGCCTCACCGGAAATCCAGAACTATCCAAAATAACAATTACTAAGTCAACACATGGGATATCAATCTTGACTAAGGGTCCACATAGTCAATTTTGCCTTTTCTCTAGTTTGGGCCAAGCCCCAAATATCAAATCCACTGTCCAGAAGTCCATATACTCAAGGCCCATTATTGGCCCAATTTTCCCAATTGGGCCCCAACTCCCAAATCGACCTCATTTAAGATCTATTACCATTAATGGCCCAAAACACATTTATTCAGAAAGCCCAACAAGGCCCATGTCAACTGGCCCAAAAAGGAGCCTAATCCCGAAGCCCATATCGTCAAAAGCCCAACAGAGGGCGTACGCGGGGTGTACTCCTCTGGTACGCTGGGTGTACTTCCGTTTTGCATTGACCACTATCGGGGTGGTTGACTCAGTACGTTGGGCGTACAGAAATTACGCGGGGCGTACGCGAGGTTTTGCCAAAACCCTAATAAGTGCTTAATGGCTTAAGCACTTAAGTCCAAACTCCAGATCCATCGACCAAATGTGCCTTAGAACCATAAAGTCTTGAACTTTAGGACTTTGGACGTCCATAAAGTTCCTAATACATGGTCTTAACCCATTAAGACCTTCCTACTACATGCATGAGACACTTTCAGCCATTAGGACATCATTTTTATCACTTAGGACCCTCTCTAGGTTCTGAAAGGACAGTTTATTTCGTTGAAATCATAACATGCACCAACTTGGGACTTTTGGGACAAGAAATGGTCCCATAAAGCTAGCATGGCAAGATCTACATCATACAAGCATAAAGTTTGGAGCTTTTTACCTCCTGGAGCTTCTAGAGCACAAAGAAACCTCAGATCTACAAGCTTGTCTTCCTTCTCCAACTTCTTGATGCAAGACCTTCTTCTCCAACTACTCAAAATACCCACTTTTAGCTCACACACTCAAGAAAGGGGTTAGGTTTTAGGGGAAAACGGCTCAAAGTATAGAGGCTGAGATGATGGAGGGTTTTGAGCTCATAAGGATGTTTATATAACACTCAAACCCTAAATATTAGGGTTTCCATCTGACGCGAGTACGCCTAGCGTACACAAGTGTACGCCCAGCGTACTAGGGCGCGCCTAGTACGCTTAGCGTACCTTATGTACGCTTAGCGTACTAGTCTTGTTCTGAAAGTTGCAACTTTAGCCCTTAGGCTCCTCATGGGTTGACTCTTCTAACCCCAGGGACTACAAATGACAAAATAATAATAGAAGAGAGGATTCAGAAATACCTGCAAAATCTCGGGATGTTACAATGCATGTCTAAAAAGCTATGATTGTTATGATGTTCTGGAGTAAATAAGAAACTATGGAGGATTTGGTTGCTTGGCTAAAAAGGGATTAAGAGCTTCATTCAGCACTTCTGTCCAGAGCGTCCTCACGACGTGAGCTCTTGGATGTCACGACGTGAGGATGGTATTCCTCGACTGTTTTGACTTATTATGTCACGCAGTGACTATTAGGGGTCACGACGTGACCAGTGGCTGTGGGACTTTCGAGTGTGGATTGATTTTGACTTTGACCTGGGTTTGACCAAGTTTGACGTAAGGGTATTTTGGGTATTTTGAGTTGTAATTGAGATTGGTCACTATTTGATAAATAGGTGACCGGTAGAGCTGATATTCAGAGCAGTGTCCTGTTCAACAATCTTTTCGAACTGAGAGGTGAGTTTTCCTCACTGTACTTGTGGGTCGAAGGCACCAAAGTCGGACCGCTAGATTTGATATCCTGGTATATTGCTAGTTGTTATGCTGAGTATGCAGTAGATCTGTATGATTACATGATGACTTCTGATACGCGTTAGACTGGTAGAATTATATGATTACCTGTAGAATTGGATATGTGTTAGACTGGTAGATATATAGGACTACCTGTATTTGCTGGCAATTGATTTTATGATATACGTGGATGTGTTATTGTCGGTTGGGTTAAGGCGGTCCTGCTTTGTGATGGAGGCCAAGACACCCAGGGCGGTGTGGATAGACTGAAGGCATGTGAGGCAGTCCAGTAAGGCCGAAGTCCTGGAGAGCGGTCCAGATAGGCTGTAGGCCCAACACAATTGTCCAGTCATG